AGATTAACATGCCCAGAAGAGCTGGCTATTGTTGTTGCCTCTGCTGTCCCACGCAGTGCAAAGGGTTCAAGATTTGCATCTCTGAATCATTAAGGTCTTATTTCAGTAAAGTCTTCCATTTCTATAGAATACCTCTTAGCAGCCTGTGCTCGCAAAGCTTCTAGGCGTCGCTCATTCTCCGCTTTAATGGCCCTGTCTAAGCGATCTTGCTCTTCTTGGGCAGCTTTTGCCTCATCTCTTCTAACTCGAGCAATGTTCTCTTTTGTGCGAACATGCCACTTCTTTTGAGGTAGAATATTCATTTTCTGAAACTGTTGCGGTCAGAACTTGGCGCAGATGGGCTAGAGGCGATTTCGAAAATCAAATAAGTAGCTCGCTATGTGAGTCACAATCGCAGACAATGCACAAGTGCGGTGAACGCGTTTCGTAATCTCACTTCATACTTCGACCGCGCCACCTCATGATGATTTTCTCCAGGTTACCGCGCGGCTTATGCACCGCGTGCTTTTATACTCGCGTAAATGCCAATCAAATGTAGTATACTAACTGCAATATAAATGCTAATAAAAAGCCGTAAAATTGTTGAAAAAAAGGATTTATGCTGGCATATCGTTTATTATCATGCACGTTTTCACAAAAAAAATAAGGCATCATTTTGTTTTACAAACACACCTATAACATCAAAACATAAGGCGAGATTATCACAGTGACGTAGAAAAGTATAAAAACCTCCCGAAATGACAATACATGTTTGTTGCACAACCTTGACTACTGGGGATCAAAAATAGATTGTAAAGTAGATTAGTGTTATTGCGATAATGAGTTCATTTACGCCTTCGAAACATTGAACAGAACAAGATCTCAATGCTAAAGCCAAATACTATCTCCGTAACCATACATGCGAAATTGAAACACTATGCAGTCATTGTCGGTATGTACAGTGCATTGATGGCATCGCTGAGTCGGACCTTCTTCATGTGTCTCATTGTGTCGTGCGCGAACACATGCTCTCGATGTCGAAGAGGTCGGACTTGGTCTTTGTGCGCAAGGCGATAGGCTCGGGATGCATTTATCTGAAGAAAAAAGAACATAAACATGCAATGTGAATGGCAGTTAAAGGCAGTGTCCGGGCAAAAGTCGATTCTAAGATTTTGTGCCTACCTGGGCCTATTCGCTATGCTGAATCCGAAAATCAGCGAAAACGAAAAAAGGCTTCAATGCAGGAGGGAAAACGCAGGTGGGCGGGGTTTTCCCCACTGTGGATTCACGCTCCCAGCCTTCGGAGCGATCTTCTCAATTCCGATTTCAACTCATGCGTTCGCACTCGGCCGGTGACGATGTCAGGGTGGTTACAGGAATCGAGAAGATCGTCCCGGAAGGAACATGAACCCATAGTGGGGAAGATCCCGCCCACACGCGTTTTCCCTAGTGCGTGAGAGCCCTTTTAGCCGTTTTCGCGCTCTCCAGTGTGAATTTTCGGATTCAGC